TTATTGCTGGTTTATGAAAGGAGGACCTATCCACGTGGAGATGTAAATATATATATATATATATATATATATCCAAGCGAATAACCAAAATTTCTGTGTTATGTGGCGCGGTTATAATATGGTTCAAGATGACACACGGGTTGATGACGTCAGTTACACGAATCGCTTGAACGCGTTGGTTTTGACCGCGGTTTTGTTGCAAGTTGTTTATTTTAGAAAAGCGCGTATATAATCTCTGATTATTTTTATTATCACTTAATAATCGGTGCTTTTTCGTCTACAACTGTATATGGAAAGTTTAAATAAGAAACCTTTCATAATATTCATGGGAGAAATGTTTTTTCAGATTTTTTTTTAATGATGGAACCATGGCTTTGTAGCTATGATAACTTTCAATTCTCTAAATTTTTCCGCATGTCAAAGAAAACATTTATTGATTCAGCAGAAATGATGAAAAAAGAAATTAAAAAACCGTATACAGGTGGATATCATCTAGTGAGTTTATATGGCCATATTTTAATATTCTTGTGGTATATGGCTACACAGGATACTTTGTTAAGCATATGAACTACATTTAAAGTGTCTCCAACAACCGTAATGAGTATAACTAATAAGGTGATCCACTTTATGGTAAAACTGAAGTCAGCCTGTATCATTTTTCTCAAAAATGAAGCTGAAGTACAATAACAATGTCCAATACCCGGCAAAATTCTAACTTGTCACATTTCAAATAATAACCAGAAATATAAAACTACTCTTGAGTTGGGTAAATACAACAATTTTGCGGTGATAACTATGACATATAACAGCTGATTCGTGACGTCACGGATCTTATAACCAAACTGATAACTACATTCGCTTGAACGGATTGGTAAATACCAACCCAAAATGGTAAATACCATTTCCATTTGGTTATCCGGTTGAAGTTGATTAATATCTGTGAAACATTTTTCATAATATTTTGTCTATGTCCATAGTAATTGCATTATGCATCAGGGAGATGTAGGGATTGACACGTCTTACACATGTTATCTGTGTTTTAGGATGGAGAGGACATACTGTTTTTATTGCTTTGAAGAAATTCATTAACCCATAAATTAATAAATGATTACTATTATGACGTAAAGGAAGATGAGGAATTGGATGGAATGTATTTTATATTCTATTTTCTTGCAAAATACAGACAAATCCACACTATCCAACAGGTATGTAATGATAACTTTCAGTATATTGAAGTTGGTAAATTCCAGAGTGCCATGCATTAACAAACGTCCAAATCTGCTGCCAAATTTAACAACTAGAAAATCGACCTATTATTTGCCGCATTCCCATTCGCTGAGGGGGATAACGGATTGTTAAATGTAAACCTATAACATATATCAAAATACATGAAAGTTGTCCTGTTTTTTCTGTATAAAAGCATGTTGGAATCAAAAAGTGGTCTTGTTTATAATACAGTCGAATTTTCACGATTTCATTCAATATTTCAATAGAAATCACTGATATTCAGAGACCTTTGACAGCTTCCGTCAAATTGCATTTCGATAAGGTCTTTTCCTATTGGTCCAACTGATCGTCAAATATTAATGTTGGTGAAATTGGCCCTTAGACTTTTATTTTGCAAATAACCTCATTTTTTATTACGTAGGTATTTCTTCCAAAAAAGGTACAACTTGGCATCAATGGTCATCATTTATCTTATCTGTCAAGAAATGGCTATTGAGAATTGTTTGTACTTTCAAATATTTCTTATAAACGCAAAAACTTTGATCTCATTGAAAATACTCGAAAAAAATCGTTAAGGAATTTCAAGAAGACATTGAACAATCACAACACAACATCTCTACACAGTTTACCAAGTAAATACCATCATTTACGTATGTATTTTGGACGTGTTATTTTAGCTAATAAGCTAATGCTAATGTGTAATAATACGGCTGGTTTTGAACCTTTTTTTGCAAAAAAAACGAGGTGAGACTATATTTTAGCGCATATCGCAAATACTTCATTTCTTACTTTAAAATGAAAGATTAGGATGTACTTTGACGAAAATATCATTTTTTTCTTTAAGGAACCCTCGGCTTGCTATTTTATTGAACTTCAAAGGTGCATTTTTGATGGTAATACTCTAGAATATAATACTGTTTTATATGCTGCCTTTTTTTGCTTTTTGCACACAGGGATGCTCTAAATTATAAGAACATACACTGAATAGTACGAAGGAAAATAGATGTGAAGCTGTAAAAAGTGTTGTTTTTTTGCAAAAAAAGGTTCAAAACCACCCGTATTATTAAACTGTGTAGAGGTGTCATGTTGTGACTATGTTGTTTTCAAAGTTTTTGCGTTTATAAGATATATTTGAAAGTACAAACAATTCTCAATGGCCAGTTTATAACGTTCATTTCTTGACAGATAAGATAAATGATGTCCATTGTTGCCAAGTTGTACCTTTTTTGGGAGAAATACGTAATAAAAAATGAGGTTATTTGCAAAATATAAGTCTTAATTTATTGTAAATGGCTTGTTTTATGGGAACTTGTCCCAACATTTACCGAAAACTAGATGAAATTACTACTAATAAACAGTGGAAATTGCACCAGCGGCTCGCGTGACAGAAAATACAAAAGGCACCAGCGGTCATTGCATTTAAAAATACCCAACTAGGATTCGTCGATTTGGACCACATCGCCAACATATCGTCCAACATTATAGTTGAATAAAGATCAACGATCATTTCATCAAAGTTCTTTGTTGTTTTCATTATTCATAGTGATTGCCAACAGATACTTTTTCAGTTATATCTCATATATATATATATATATATATATATCACATTTAATTAGGTATATTTTGTGACATTAGCTTCACTTTAAATAATTCTCCAAGTACATACATCAAAAAAGTAAATAGATTATGACTATAATATAGGAAAAACAATAACCGAGTACTTTTGTGAAGGGCATAAGGCATTCTTCAAAAAAGTGTCTTTAGCTAACGCTATCGTAGGGCACGATTTAGTACAGTCAAACCTGCAGGCCACACCTTCTCTCAAATCGCATTTTCGTGACAATTCTGTGCCGTTTGCACACTTTTGCGCTAGTATATAAGTAAGAATTTGACAAATCAAATTAAGGTATAGGTATTACTATTTATGATTTGACAACATCGCAACTAGATAGAGAGAGTATGATAGTGATGGTGGTGGAGTGATGAGAATATTTATCTGAAATAAAAGAAATTACCACTTACCTCATCATTAAAATAATGCAAATTGCATTATTGCGATGAACAGTGTTACAGTAATTTACAGTGTATGTTATATTCAAGTAATTTTGAGCAATCTTTTGTCCAAACAAGAAAGAAACAGCTTATAAAGCAGTATTCTATCACCCAGTATTACCACACAAATTGCAACTTTGAAGTTCTATAAAATAGCAAGCAGGGAGTTCCTTAAAGAAAAAATGATATTTTTCTGCAATTTACATCATAATCTTTCATTTTAAAATGAGAAATGAAATATTTGCGATATGCGCTAATGTATAGTTCAGCCGATAACTCTCAAAGTACTATCAGAGTTTTTATGAAATTTTGACTCTAGGTTACTACTATGAAATGGTCAAACTTCGTTTTCTGACATTTCTGATGTTTCTGTCAGACTTGAGTTTTGGTCGCTGAAGACAGATCTGAAATTATTTTTCGGCGCTCGAAAAAATTGTTTCACGGTTCATTGTCTATATTTTTTCCTTCAGTTGTAAAGGTTCAAGCGCGAAACTGACACCGATAATAGACGTTGGCGCCACCATGCGTCGAACGTCCGAGACGAAAAAGTTCATCCCATCCTGTAGGAGACACACTTTCCAATTGTGAGGTGTCGAACGTTGTAAACAACGTTGTATACAACGCTGGAAGCATGGTGTGGGACCCGCATTAACCGTCAACACTTTTGATACCTGTCTTGTGACATGTCAAAAAAGTAAACATAACCCAGTGCTACCAGGTCTACCGATTTTTCGGTAGATCTACCGATTTTGGTCCTGGTCTACCGAACTACCGATTTTAAAGCAAGCAGAATCTACCGAAAGGTGGACTTTTCTTTCAATTGAATAATTTTTGTTCCCTATATAAGAGAAATATTTCTGATGCATAGCGATAAAAAGAATGTCAAAAGTACTATTATTATTCGTACTAGACCAGATATATTTTTATTCTCTTTGCCTGAAATTGTTGTGCCACACACGCTGATTCTTCGCATCTGTTGAATCACCAAAGATACTCCATGATTTGGCTACTTCGCCTAGGCCTAGCGGCTCGTGACAAGTCCATGCCTGTATTGTACGATTTGTATGATTTCGTGAAGTTAGTAATTCCGAATTCGGCCAGTATTAGTATTGCCTGTCTTGCAGTCATTTTCTTTATAAGGAAGACTGGGAAGAATTGGCAGATTTTCAAGGCTGGCTTAAAAAAGCAATAAAGGGCGCGATTATGCGAAATGCATGGTCTGTGATAAAGATATTTATATCAAAAGTGGAAGAGATGCACTTATAAAACACGCAAATGGGCAATTTCATAAAAAGGTGCAAACCATAGCAAAACAGCCAAAACTGTTGTCATTTGCTGTTGCAGGTGCATCAAAGAAATTAGAAAATGATATTAAAGAAGGTAAAATTAATTGATTTATTTGAGAAGATTTGAGATTATATAGATTATTTTATTATTTCCAGGAGGAATTCGTTTTAGCGCATTTTTGGCCGAGCATAATTAGCCATTCCTGCTGTCAAGCAAAATTAGTAGATAATATGACTGATAAAAACTTATACAAAAATGAATCGGAAGAATGATTATCCAATATAGCTTACACATTTTTTATTTTATACACTTTTTCTGTTTTTTATTAAGAATATTTTATTTTTAGTTAGCTAAAGTAAGATATAAACTGTTTATTTTTGTTTTGTCTTTCTGTTTTAGAGTATATTTTAAGTTAAATAAAATTGTTTTTCTAAATGCCTTCATTTACTCTTCGGTATTCAATTTACTGAAAAACTACCGAAAAATTCCATGCAATTCTACCGAAATATCGTCGAGTCCACCTGGCAACACTGACATAACCTTTAATTTTGTGACCAATAGCAAAAAAGTTTTTTGAAAGAGTTTCTGTGGTCTGTGCCTCTGTGGTGGCAAGTGAAGGTTTCTTTGTCGTTAAATACCTTCAAAATCATCAAATTCTGCAATCGCTTTTTCTAAACTTTATTGATTCTGGAATAAAGAATATAAAAATGGTAGTACCACCTCATCAGTACCTTAAACCAGTTGGATCTCTACTAAAGGTACCACTTGATAAATCAAATATAGTAAGTATAGCAGACAGTGAAAATGTGGTTTTCGATTTGTATGAAACCACATTCACTGATAAGCCAGAATATAGTCAAGTATAACTACTACATACATTTTTTCTATTATCATTGCAGATTAACAACTGCTCAGTAACAAGTAGTATTATCAAAACTGTTGAAAAATCCCAGCCAACCCTTGGTCCCTTAGACAATATTGAAACTTCTAAAATGCAGCAATGGATTGAATACAGTATTGTCTACGCTGCTAATATTGATTGCTCTCAAGATTCTCATACTATTTTGAAGGTATGGTATCGAGTAGTTATCACTATTTAAATAGTCCACAATTTTATCTACCTAACTGTAGAATTTGTATTTTGCATACCTCAAACAATTCTCATAACTCTCTTCCAGGAACTGGATGATACTTTGTCTATTACAACCTATTTGATTGCTTCTAGACCAACTATTGCTGATGTATTATTGTATCATGTTTTGGTTAACATACTGGTAAGTAGTCATACTTAACTGTTGAATGTAGGTTCTAATAATTAATTTTATTTCTAGGCATCTCTGGGAAACTCTGACAAGGAAAGCTATATGAATGTATGCAGATGGTTTGACAACATACAGCAGAATAAGTTGTTTAGGCAATCAAATAAGTTGGTCAATTTTACCATAAACTATTTATCAAGAATAGCTAATATTAAAGTGGACTAAGATACTGATGAATGGCATATTTCAGTTCAAACCTCTTCAAAATTTTTAGCGATCAAAAATCTTGCTGCCTGTCCCCCCACTTAACCAAATTGCAGATGGCCATAATCAAATTCAAGCGGATAACCAAATAGAAATGGTATTTACCATTTTGGGTTGGTATTTACCAATCCGTTCAAGCGAGTGTAGTTATCAGTTTGGTTATAAGATCCGTGACACCACGAATCAGCTGTTAGATGTCATAGTTATCACCGCAAAATTGTGGTATTTACCCAACTCAAGAGTAGTTTTATATTTCTGGTTATTATTTGAAATGTGACAAGTTAAAATTTTGCCGGGTATTGGATATTGTTATTGTACTTCAGCTTCATTTTTGAGAAAAATGATACAGGCTGACTTCAGTTTTACCATAAAGTGGAGCACCTTATTAGTTATACTCATTATGGTTGTTGGGGACACTTTAAATGTAGTTCCTATGCTTAACAAAGTATCCTGTGTAGCCATACACCACAAGAATATTAAAATATGGCCATATAAACTCACTAGATGATATCCACCTGTATACGGTTTTGCTAATTTCTTTTTTCATCATCTCTGCTGAATCAATAAATGTTTTCTTTGACATGCGGAAAAATTTAGAGAATTGAAAGTTATCATAGCTACAAAGCCATGGTTCCATCATTAAAAAAAAAAATCTGAAAAAACATTTCTCCCATGAATATTATGAAAGGTTTCTTATTTAAACTTTCCATATACAGTTGTAGACGAAAAAGCACCGATTATTAAGTGATAATAAAAATAATCAGAGATTATATACGCGCTTTTCTAAAATAAACAACTTGCAACAAAACCGCGGTTAAAACCAACGCGTTCAAGCGATTCGTGTAACTGACGTCATCAACCCGTGTGTCATCTTGAACCATATTATAACCGCGGCACATAACACAGAAATTTTGGTTATTCGCTTGGATTTGATTCTTGATTCCAATGTAGCCATTTTCATTATATATGTAAATATATGTTTAACATGTTGACTGCCAACTACGAGATAACTCTTAGATTGAGATTTTTCTAGAATACCAACTACGAGTTATCTCGTCCTCTGTATTCTTGTCATTTTTATGCAGCTACAGATTTCTAAAAATTGTCATGGTTGTTAATGTGTCAACTATGGGGGATTTAGAGCCACCCACTCTTCAATTGTCACAATGAGATTCATTCTCAGAAATGCTGCTTACACATGGAGCCTCCCCCCCTCTCCACCTCCTGAATTATCAATTACTGATCCACAAAGATAAACGTCTTGAATGTGAATCCTGCAACCACCACTGCTAGTGATTGGTTAAACTAGTGGTGGATTTAGAGGGGGGCGCGCCCGCTCTAGAGGTCTGACACTTGCTTTTGTAATCTAACACCATTGTGTTGCTTTCTGACACATAATGGCGACAGAGGCATACTAACTATAAGTTATAGCTAAAGGAACTGAACATTGCGATTATTTGGTATCCTTTGGTATTCCTAATGCTGTCCGTCTTCGACATCACTTACGACTACAGCACAAATCTTACGATTTATCCGTATATTCGAGTATTGTGACTTGTGACAAATCTAAGTCTGAGCAATATTTAGCTATACAGATTGCACTTAAAAAGTGATTTATGTTATGTCTGTTGCTCAATAGTAATTTAAAAAGTGTGTGAAGCTGGACTCATTTTGTTCGGGCTTGGTGTTGCAGCGAAGCACTATTAGTCTCATCATATTAGGTGAAAATACCCCTGGTTCGCGAAATAATTGTAAAATCTGGTTTTATTGCTGCAAGTTGTTCAAGTTGTTCAAGGGTATTCAAAACATTGACGCTTTTTTTTTTTTTTTTGACACACAATGGACACACCAATTTTTGTGGGAAAACTTTTTATCCAACAACAAAGAATGAGAAAACGTGTTTTTTGGGATTCATGCGAAAGTATTATCAGGAACGAAAAAACTTTTCAGATATCTTTTTAGGTATTTATGAGATCTACAAAATGAGACCACACGTAAAAAGATCCGACTAATAGCAAAAAACTTATGGCCAAAAACCGAGGCAAATAGCAGATTTTGGCACTTGTTGGTAATGCGACGATAGTTTCTCACAGATATTTCAGATTCTTCAACTTCGTAGGATTCGTACTTCTAAATAACCACTACAAAATTGGAGTAAATTGGTCAAGTAGTTTTTGAGAATCTCTAATTGTTTATCCCAAAACACCTGTTTTGCGGCCATCACTAGTAGTTTATTGAGCAATATACAGGGTTAGTACAAAGGGCATTTTATAGAAAAATACACTAGTTTACCATGGCGATATGAATCGCAAACCATTCCGGAAGATAAATGTTATATTTATGCAAAAAAGGATGGGTTACGTTTTTTCTTCTAAACAAATTCAAATATTTCGTATTTGTGAGTAAATCGCAACAAAAGATGATAGACACATCCGCTTTGTTTTAAAATGTGTATAGTATCGTATGTATTTCGAATATCGTAGCGCATTTGCTTAGAAGAAAAAATGTAACCCTTGTTTTTCGTTAGGCATAACATTTATATTTCGGAGTGGTTTGTGATTCATATCGGCAAGGTAAACACGTGTAATTTGCTATTAAATACTCTTTTAACTAACCCTGTATATTACTCAATAAACTAGTAGTGATTGCCGGAAAACAGGTGTTTTGGGATAAACAATTAGAAATTCTCAAAAAACTACTTCACCAATATACTCCAATTTTGCTGTTGTTATTTAGAAGTATGAATCCTACGGATATGAAAAATTTCAACTACGAGTAGTTGCATGAAATTATCGTCGCATTACCAACAAGTGCCAAAACCTGCATTTTGCCTCGTTCTTCGGCCATAACATTTTTACTATTAGCCGGATCTTTTTACGTGTGGTCTCATTTTGTAGGTCTCATAAATACCTAAAAATCTTATATGGAAAGTTTTTTCGTTCCTATCAGCACTTTCGATTGAATTCCAAAAAACACGTTTTCTCATTCATTGTTGTCAAATAAAAAGTTTTCCCCACAAAAATTGGTGTACCCATTTTATGCGTTCATGTTTAAAATTCCCCCTTAAACAACTTGCACCAATGAAACCGGACTTTACAACTATTTCGAGGAAATTTGCTAATATGATTAGAGTATATGTTAGATGAACGCTTAAATTGGAAATTGACATTTATGAGATTTGTTAAGCGGTGCACCTGTGGCCTGTCCAGAAAATGCGTCGATCGATGATCCTGCATATGTTTCTCTTTATTTATAGCTTCTGCACTACACGTGGATATGTACAGCCCTGTATACCTGTACTTGTTTCGTACAAACATACATTATCAAAATAATTACGATCTAACAGATATAGTTTTTTCCAAAATTTTTACATGCGATCAACACCGATTCAAAAACTGAGAAAACAACTATGCCGTAAATCTAAGTTCGACAACGAAAGTCTGAAGAATAACTGCAAGATCTATATTGAATCTCAAAAAATATTTGACCTATTGATATTTTTATGACCTGCTGATATAATAGAAGTACTTGATTGTGTCAGTACTTGCACCAATTACTTGATTTGTTTAATGGGTAGTTCAGAGTCTCAATAATTAAGCTTAGTACACACTAGTAGACCCCGTTGCGCAATTTGTCTATAGACATCCTTCTTTGTCTCGACAAGCGTTCATACGATAATGTGAATTTTTCGGTCTCATGTTCTTTTTCGCCATCAAAGACATTGTTTTGTGTGGAATGGACTGGGATATGTCTCTGGGTCCGTCAGAATGTTTTTTGTTTTTTTTTGTTAACAAAGCAATGTTTTAATCTTTAATATATTTTATTACACTAGTTAATTATAAATGACACGTACTTCTTTTGTTCTCATATAATAAAATATTGCCTTTTTGAGGATTACTGAGCATTTACCATGTTTTTTTTCAAGCTGGCATTGACCAGATAGAACAAAATGGATTTAAGGAGCAGTAATAGGATAAATTGTAGAAGTTCCACTAAGGTTGAAAAATTACCAGCACCAAATACCGTTTGCACCCCATTAGACGAAATCGTAAATCCGCCCTTGGGTTAAACTCTCTGTGGCCTACTGGGATCACCACAAATACAAAGTCAATATATTTTGCTCCTGTTCATATTCTGATGTTACTAAGATAATTAATGGTTGTTTATGATTTAGGTTTTCTATCAGCAGAAATGAGATGCTAAGAAAGGCACTGCTGGCATACACATTTCAACAACCACTTATGACCCTGCGTATTCGTGAAACCAAAGGCACGCTGAGGCACAGGCCCTCTTAGTTCATTCTAATATTGTTCTAACAGTTGAAAGGTGGAAGTGTCTTTGTGTTGTGATTTTGTGAATAGTGTCCATATCAAGTTCAGGTCAAGGTTCGATCAATCAAATGGTGAGGGTTTTCACCGAGTATCTGTTATTGTTTTGCTGTACTGCATGTCATGTGTATTTTCTAACCATGGTACCCTTATAATCATGATAATAATTGTAATAAGTCAAAGCTAGTCAGATGAGATATGTTTATCAACAGTTAAGATAAAGTTAAAGGTAACTTAGCGTCGAACATCTACAGAGGTGTGACGCCTCCATATCCTGGAGGCTGTTATGAGACCTACAGAGCCGGGTTGCCATCGGGGGAATTACTGCTCGGTTTCTTCTGTCAGAGGAAATGTCGGAGCGTATTGGGTATTGACACAACTGCCATTGGCCGGCGTGTATCCTGGGTCTGTGTGACCGCCTAGGTTCTTCTCGAGTCAATCGCAGGAGTCTGAAAGTATCTCATGGCAAGATGTGTATAGGGATTGTTACTTAAAGTTGTCCGCTGCTCGGTTATCTCTCAATCAGAGGTAAGGTTGGAGCTTTTGGGTATTGACACGGCAACGTGATATCCTGGTTTCTGAGCTGCTTTTCGTAACAATCAAGTACTTGGCATATGTGTTTAAGCACCGGTTATAAAGGTATCCATATCGGGAGTGACTTCAATACGGTAGGAAGCTACCGTTCCCCCGAGTATGGACGCGGGCGTGACTTCCATGCGGTAGGAAGCTACCGTTCCCCCGTGCAAGGTATTATATTTCCATATCAGGCGTGACTTCCATGCGGTAGGAAGCTACCGTTCCCCTGATCATGGTCACGGGCGTGACTTCAATGCGGTAGGAAGCTACCGTTTCCCCGTGCGAGGTATTATATTTCCATAACAGGCGTGACTTCCATGGGGTAGGATGCTACCGTTCCCCCATGCAATGTATTGTAATTTGTAATAATATAATTGAGAAATATCATGGCCATTATTATATTGTTTTGTGATCAGTATTGAGACAGCTAATTAACAGACATAATGAATAGACAGTAGAGTTGTGCATGTCATGAGTCGGTAGAATATGGAAGGTACTCAAAAGGTTTTTCTTAAAAATAGGCTTGACCCCGACAACCCAGTTCTAGCGACCGTATCTCTCGCCAAGGAAGAACAACTCCCCTGTCGTTAACGTCACCAAGTAAGTGGCTTTAAAATTATCCTGACATTAGGTTGTGTATGTACTACTCTCATAATAAAAGTGAAAAGGTACAGGGTAGTACTTCGAACGCTTGTAAGGTGGAATTGTTGTTTTACGCTTATCGTTATATTTCTATTATCATCTCTTGATATCATCTCTTACACTTGTGATATGAGGCTGCTCAATAGATGTTTTTTTTGTTAATTCCATCAAATAATGAGACATTTCAGCTGCACGTTCATTTGAAGCAAACAATGCTTTCATAATGTATTTTGTTGTTGCTGATATGAGTATAGTCCAAAAGGAGTAGGAATCTTCATTTATGACATATTGGTATATCCTAAGTGCTCGCTAGTTTTCTAGAAAGAGCTATCTTCCAAGATAACAAGCACACTCACACTGAAAACCAAATTTGTCTGTCGGCACGTTAGAAGTAGGTAGAAGCCGGCTGGATAGCGACGCTCACCACCTCGTTGCCTAGCAACGCTGATGCAGCAATCTGGCGCGTCGCCAATGTGTTACATCAGTTCCGTGAATTAAGATGCATGTTGAAAATATGCGTTAATTTATTCTCTACACCTAATTAATGGTCTTATTTTGAGCGTACACATTTTTGAATTGTGTCGAATCTCTATGGGATCGATTCCGGATCGGTCCTCCGAAATGAAAGGGCAGGATCGCCACAAATTCTGCAACATTGCAGTGTCGCAAAATGTAACATTAAATCGGGATGTGTTGATTTTATTACCATCGGTGGAAATCAAAGATAATTCTAAAATAAATAATTCTAATCAAAGTGAAAACAAAATATTAAATTAAATCTACGAACAGACCTCCTTGGCTTTCACGTTTACCAAACCTATTGTAGTAGCCTGTTCGAACATTTTCTGGTCTAACATATCGGCAACGCGGCAGATTGCACGACCTTCTGCATTACCGTTGCTAGGCAATATGGTATGAGTTTCGCTCTTCAGCTGGCTTCTATCTCTTTCTAACATGTGTCGATACACACTTCTCGCGCTTCACTCTCGTACATATTGAACTCGCGCCGTCAGACAAATTTGGTTTTACCTGTATGCAATTCGTTATTAGGTTAGCAATCTATTCTTTTCCTGAACAAAAGCGTTAAAAAAATTATAAAAAAAGCGTGGCCAAAAATATATTTGTACGTTGAATTTTTGAGTAATCCAATTTATGATATGCTACAAATTGAACAAAAGATGTGAAAAAGCGGTTTTTCTGATTTTTGGCGATTTCCTGGGTAAAAATTCATGATTTTGTTGGTGGACCTAAAGAACTACGCAAGAAAGCACCGATTTGTGAAATTCTCATTACGTAACCAAAAAATCGAAAAAACAACAAAACCATTATGTGGGCGTAGTGAATAAACTAAACTAACGCGTATGTTCAACATACATCTTAATTCAAGAAACTGGTGTAACATATTGGCAATGCGGCTTCGCTATCCAATCAGCTTCTATCTGTTTCTAACATATGTGTCTATATACACTTCTCTCTCGTACCCATTGAACTTAAGCTGTCAGACAAATTTGGTTCTCAGTGTATATGCGCGCTTTACATTATTTTCAGTTCCGTTGTTAAAATAATGATTTCTTATCCGGAAAATTGACAAAAATCGGAAAAACCGCGTTTTCATCGATTTTTTCAATTTTAGGTTTTTTTAGAGTAGGTTTTGTACTGTATGAGCCAAATAGTTATTGTATGTAGAGCGTAGTTTCCTTTAGGTGTTATGTTGGCGAAATGTTAGATGGCGCTGAAGCTGCTCTGTCAACGACGGTTCTGGATGTTCTTTACTTGCCGGGGGAAGCTGTGACCAGGGGGGTGAAACTCATAAATCAAATCCAAGCGAATAACCAAAATTTCCTTATTATGTACCGCGGTTATAATATGGTACGGGATGATGACGTCAGTTACTCGAATCGCTTGAACGCGTTGGTTTTAATTGCGGTTTGTTTCAAGTTGTTTATTTTAGAAAAGCGCCTATATAATTTCTGATTATTTTTATTATCACTTAATAATCGGTGCTTTTTCGTCTACAACGGGGTATGGAAAGTTGAAAAAAAGAAACCTTTCATAGTATTAATGGGAGGAACGTTTTGGCGTGGTAAAAATACTAATCAATATCTGTGTGTTAGTAACCCTATCCCCTTCCTGGTGAGTCAAAACCTATTTTTATATGAGCTTCACGAACGATAGACGTGTGTAAAAAGTGCTCTCCCAATTTTGTCGAAAATCTACGTTATTACTTCAGTAAAAAATATGATTTTTGAAAGAAATCACAATAGTGCTGTGAGAAGCATGTTGGCAGTGAAATATTGGTTGTGCACATATTTTTCATTTGTGGTTAATTGCAGTAAGTAGGATACATTTCTCTTACAAAAAAGTGTTCACAGCAACAAAAAGTTTGCTTACAAAAAGTGCCAGTTACAAAAATAACCATCAGAATAACTAGCTGGTTTTATAGTCTAGTTGTCCAGGATCATATCTCACAAATATCTGTTTGCATCAAATTTTCACACTTTGATTTAATAATCCTACAATGTTAAAAAGAAAACAGCTTCACAATCATAATAACCATCCCAAAACAGAATCCTTAATTATAAACAAGGATGGAGGGCAATGAACCTGAAGCAGAGGTATGCATCAACTGTAAAACAGAATTTCATGGAGACAATGGTTACTATAAATGTGATTCAAGTTTTGGGAGCGTTCATAAGGATTGTGTCAATTTAACATCTTCAGAAGTGCGATGTATGCCATTACAGAAGAGGGTTCTTTTGTTGATTTGTGATAAATGCAAGCAATTAATAGCAAGAATGCCCTATATGGTGAAAATGATGGAGGAAATGAGCCAAATAGTTATTGTATGTAGAGCGTAGTTTCCTTTAGGTGTTATGTTGGCGAAATGTTAGATGGCGCTGAAGCTGCTCTGTCAACGACGGTTCTGGATGTTCTCTACTTGCCGGGGGAAGCTGTGACCAGGGGGGTGAAACTCATAAATCAAATCCAAGCGAATAACCAAAATTTCCGTATTATGTACCGCGGTTATAATATGGTACGGGATGATGACGTCAGTTACTCGAATCGCTTGAACGCGTTGGTTTTAATCGCGGTTTATTTCAAGTTGTTTATTTTAGAAAAGCGCGTATATAATTTCTGATTATTTTTATTATCACTTAATAATCGGTGCTTTTTCGTCTACAACGGGGTATGGAAAGTTGAAAAAAAGAAACCTTTCATAGTATTAATGGGAGGAACGTTTTGTTTTTCAGAAAAAAATTTTTACTGATGGAACCATGGCTTTGGAGCTATGATAACTGTCAATTCTCTAAACTTTTCCGCATGTCAAAGAAAATATTTATTGATTTAGCAGAAATGATGAAAAAGCGATGAAAAAAAGATATTAACAAAACCGTATACAGGTGGACATCATCCAGTGAGTTTATATGGCCATATTTTAATATTCTTGTGGTATATGGCTATACAGGATACTTTGTTAAGCGTAGGAACTAGATTTAAAGTGTCCCCAACAACAGTAATGATTATAACTAACAAGATGCTCTCTTATGCTAAAACTGAAGTCAGCCTGTATCAAGTTTCCCAAAAATGAAGCTGAAGTACAATAAAGATATCCAATACCCGGCAAAATTCTAACTTGTCACATGTCAAATAATAACCAGAAATATAAAACTACTCCTGAGTTGGGTAAATACCACAATCTTGCGGTGATAACTATGACATATAACAGCTGATTCATGACGTCACGGATCTTATAACCACACTGATAATCACACTCGCTTAAACGGATTGGTAAATACCAATCCAAAATGGTAAATACCATTTTCATTTGGTTATCCGCTTGAATTTGATTATACGTGCGAATGGGAAACAAAGCAAAAAATGGCGGCTTATTCACAACTGACGTTGTCTGATTGGTCAGATTTAAATTTCCGGCGGGTCTCTTAGTGTGCTCTGCTCTGTGCTTTGCAAATATAACCTTACTTTTTTCAGCATGCCATTTTCTTAAGATTTCATTTTAATTCAATAAGGTCCTCATTATGTTATTTGAGACATGCATTTTGTTCAGAGTTGTGAAGTATAAAAATGTAAGTACACAAGTACTCATTTGAGAAATGTAATATTTGAAGATCGTACGTGTTTGTATCTCCACATCACTTTTTGAACACTGGAGCGCTACGAGAAGTTCAACAGCTGCCGTTGTCAACCCTTGAGGTCAGGAGCTCGAAGATTACTTCTGATATAACCAAAAGGCACAGCTCTGAAGGATTTTTGCAGAACATTTGTAAGTTTTTATATGACTCGATAACCGGTGATGATTTGTAATGCTTTTGTCCAAATTAGTTTCCATACTTCATTTTAAATAAATCAGCTATTTTCAGAGCAGCAGGGTTGATATGCAAAGCTCACTATAGTTGCAATGAAATCGAAGCCACAGGTTATTGAACAATAACATGGGTGCCCACAGGGTGGTGTCAGAGGGGACATGGTCTCTTCTGGGAATCGGCTTTGACTTTAATGTTTGCATATTTGCTCTTGTGTACAAGTTTGAGAATTTTTTTGGATTTGTCCCCTCGTGAGAAAATTGCTTCCTCTGCTCATCAAAAAATTTTTGGGGCAGGTACAATTTCACAAAAAGTTATCTCTTGATGATGATCAGCACCTCTGAGAAAAATTCCCGTGGGTACCCATGCACAATAATATTGTTGTTCTAATAAAAAAATAAATCTGAAATTGTAGTAACATATCAACACAATTCAATAGTTTCCTAATTTTTGATTTATGCAGGTGCCAACAAAGGCTGGGGAATGAAAATATCTGGACCATAATGATGTTAATACTGATTTGTTTGTAGAAAAATGTGTCAGATTTCTATAATGAATATATATTTAGGTATTTGTAATATATGTTTTTCTTTTGAACCTTTCCATATTAGTAAGTAGAGTGACCTTATCACAGCTTGTGTTATTGACGTTGCTATTTTAACATACAAAAAAGCACTTATTCGACAGTCGAGACAGACAAGTCGAAGTCACCGTGTTGCCATTGAATAGCATGGAATTAAGATTCTGGTTTCGAACGCCGTGGAACGCGTGTCGAGCAAAGACAGAAAAACCGGAGACGAAAAACAAACCTAGAGCAAACAAACAACCAAGTGGCGTGGTAAAAATACTAATCAATATCTGTGTGTTAGTAACCCTATCCCCTTCCTGGTGAGTCAAAACCTATTTTTATATGAGCTTCACGAACGATAGACGTGTGTAAAAAGTGCTCTCCCAATTTTGTCGAAAATCTACGTTATTACTTCAGTAAAAAATATGATTTTTGAAAGAAATCACAATAGTGCTGTGAGAAGCATGTTGGCAGTGAAATATTGGTTGTGCACATATTTTTCACTTGTGGTTAATTGCAGTAAGTAGGATACATTTCTCTTACAAAAAAGTGTTCACAGCAACAAAAAGTTTGCTTACAAAAAGTGCCAGTTACAAAAATAACCATCAGAATAACTAGCTGGTTTTATAGTCTAGTTGTCCAGGATCATATCTCACAAATATCTGTTTGCATCAAATTTTCACACTTTGATTTAATAATCCTACAATGTTAAAAAGAAAACAGCTTCACAATCATAATAACCATCCCAAAACAGAATCCTTAATTATAAACAAGGATGGAGGGCAATGAACCTGAAGCAGAGGTATGCATCAACTGTAAAACAGAATGTCATGGAGACAATGGTTACTATAAATGTGATTCAAGTTTTGGGAGCGTTCATAAGGATTGTGTCAATTTAACATCTTCAGAAGTGCGATGTATGCCATTACAGAAGAGGGTTCTTTTGTTGATTTGTGATAAATGCAAGCAATTAATAGCAAGAATGCCCTATATGGTGAAAATGATGGAGGAAATTAAAAGAGAATTAGCAGATTTGAAAGCAAACTACAGAAAAGACACTTATTCAAATGTGTTAAAAAATAAAACATCCGCGCCGGATTCCATTAATAAGCCTAGTCTGCCTACCATAATAATTAGGCCTAAAAGCCAACAAAATATAGGCAAGAATAAAGAGGAGGTGCAAAGGTTGATAAACCCATGCGAAATCAATGTTGGAATTAGAAATATTAAGGAAACTAAGAAAGGAAATATTGTACTAAAGTGCGACACAGAACAGGAGCTAGAAAGACTCAAGAAATCAGCAGAAAGTAAACTAAAAGGTAAATATGAAGTTAATTTACCAAAAAAGATGTTACCGAAAATTAAAATTGTAGGATATGTGGGTAATAAGGAGATAGAGGAGCTTGAAGAAAGTATAAGGAAGCAGAATACATGGATGCAGTTGAACGGACACTTTAAAATACATTATATTAGAAGACATAACAATAAAGATACCTCCACAATTTATGCGGAATGTTCAGGAAACTTATATTCTAAAATAATGAAAAATGAAAAAAATTACGTAGACTGGGAGCGTCTGCCGGTGTATGAGGATCTGACTGTATCTAGGTGTCAGGGCTTTCAACACAAAAGTAACCGGTGTCTTAGAAAGCAAGTCTGTGGAAACTGTGCAGGAAGTCACAATACCACAGAATGTGAAAGTCAGGAGAGGACTTGTGTGAACTGTGACATGGCCAATAATCTGTATAAAACTAAGTGCGCAACAGATCATAGTGCATTAACTGCAAACTGTCCTTGTTTAAATACCAAATTGGAATCTTGAAGTCCAGAACTGACTATAGTAAATAAGCATAATGGTAAATCACATAAATGAGGAAATTCTAGATATAATTAATGAAGACGGTGGTTCTTTGAGTGAAATAATAGCCAGTGGACAGATAAAAACCTTCCTGTCACATAATGCACATTCATTGGCTGTAACTGTGATTCATGATAATATAAGAAGTATCAACAGAAATTTGGAGTCATATAAGCTAAATAGCTTTGACGTTATTGTTTTCACGGAAACCTTTCAAATTGTGTCTATTAAGAACTGTAATTTACCTGGCTACCAAACTTTTTATAATGAAGGTAATTACAATAAAAATGATGGGGTTATTGTTTTTGTTAGGATGGTATTAGGGAGAATTTCTCCAAGTGCCAGTTAAGTGTATCAAGGGCTAGTTTAGGTAGACTCACGTTTGAAAGGGATGGGGTTTTGTATGGTATAACGTGCGTTTACAGACCACCTCCAATATCAAAGAAAGACTTCACTCATGATTTGCACACTTATTTGGAGCATAATAGTTCTGCTAATATTGAAATATTTCTGGGGGATATTAACATAAATATTCTGGATAATAAGCACACTCTGGTGACAGAGTATCTGTCAATGATGTCTTCTCTTGGCTTTTACGCATTTATCAATAAACCTACTAGAATGTCTTCGGGAACTTGCCTGGACCATATATTTGTTAGGCAAAAATTAAGAACCAATTGTTTATTATTAAATTATATACTCAATGAGGAAATAACGGATCACAGTCCAACAGTGCTTTGTATAACTAATAAAGCACGACCTTCTGGAATTTTGGAGGTTGGGCAAGTTGTAACACGGAACAAACTAAACATAAATAAATTTAAGAAGTTTTTGAATGATTGTGATTGGAATTTGGTAACTACTGTGAATGATCCAGAAATAGCTGTAAAGTTATTTTTGACTACCTACAGGGACTTGCTGTTGAAATCAACAGAAACAATTGCTACAAGAGTATCAATTCAAAAAAAAATAAAACCATGGATAAGCAATGGAATTATTGTTTCTTTGAAAAAAAGGGATAAAATGAAAAAGATACTTCTAGCAAATTATAGTTTGTTTTTGGAAAATCAGTACAAGGATTATGTTATTAAACTAAATAACTTAATACACAAACAAAAAAATAATTACTATAGAATGCAAATTGAAAAAATAAAAATAACATGAAAAAACTGTATGACGTCATAAAGGATGCAACTTACAAAAAGAGTCAATCTTATATATCTACAGGGTGACTTTGAAGTTGAGTTATTAATTTTCAGATAATGATTGTAGAAGGAAGATAAACCAAAATATGTGTGTAAAAATAAAAAAAAAATTTTTACCTTGTCTTATAAAGTATCCTCCGACAAGTATTTCAGTGCGGACCTGTATTTAATCGTGAGGTCTTGGAGCACCGGCATGCCCTCCCCTGTGAGGTCTTAAGTCACCTGATTCACGAGCCCGTTGTACTACATTAACAAAGGCACGAGGGGTTGGTTGCACTCGATTGGGATACCGATCCGCATAAATATGTGCCATTTTTATTTCGTTTGAGCCACGCAGCAAACACCACTATTCACTCACGCGTTACCGACTGACACATTGACTGAATAAAAACATCGTGATCAGCGTTTCAAATTCTTTCGCTTTTTTGTTTCCGATGCGATGAACTGATTATGCTCAGATTATTACCGAGCCCACTAGAATTACGCAGTTCAGTTCCACATTGATAGATCCCATTTTTGTGAATGATGTAAATATTATTTTAAACTCTGGGACATTAGCAGCAGATCAAATATCTGATCACAGATTAGTTTTTTGTGAATTAGCAATGCCTGCTCCTAGAAATGCACCAAAATTTATTGAATATAGGGACCTGAAAAATATTGATATGGTCTTGTTCAAAGCACACTTAAGACTTAATGTATTGGATGAAATTTTTATATTAATGATATCGATCAAAAGGTTTTATTTTTCACTGAAAGTTTAATTGCTCTTTTCGATACACATGCACCTATTCGTAAAGCGCGTATAACGAAAATGCATCGCCTTGGTTAACCCCAACCTTGAAACGTATTTTCAAGGAAAGAGATGAAGCTTTACTCAAATTTCGACATGATTCAACTAAAGAAAATTGGATCAACTACAGAATTTTGCGTAATCACGCACTTGCTGCACTTAAAAGAGAGAAAAAAGCATATTTAGCTCATTTCGAAAAGTCAAACCCTAAAAAATTTTGGAAACACTTAAGAAATTTTGGAGCTTACCAAAAAATAAGGCAGAAATTCCCCCACACTTGCTCAATCCTGACGAAGTTAACAATTATTTTTTATCAAATTTTATATCCCATAATGTTAATTCCCGTCTTATAAATCGTACGGTAGATGAATATATTTCAAGTTCTTTTAATTCAGACATTCCGCTCTTTCACTTTCATTTAGTTACCCCAGAAGATGTTTTAGATATTATAATTAACATAGGAAGGAAAAGGAGTATTCCAAGTTTGTGGAAAGAGGCTGTTATAACTCCTCTGGCTAAGAATAATAATCCTACAGAATATTCGGATTTGAGACCCATTAGTATATTGTGTGCCTTGTCAAAGATATTGGAAAAAATTGTTTATATGCAATTGGTAAAATATTTTGAAGAGTACAACATATTTCCAAATTGTCAGTCTGGTTTCCGTAGTGGTCACAGCACAACATCTGCATTATTACACGTAACTGATGAGATTATCTCTAACTTAGACAATCATATTTACACTGTGCTGGCGTTGTTAGATTTCTCAAAGGCATTTGATACGGTTAACCACGAAATGCTTCTATCCAAATTAAAATACTACGGACTATCTGACGTTCCTCTTTGCTTTTTTAAATCATACTTAAATAAGCGCAAGCAACGAATAAGAACAAGCCAAGGAGTTTCTCTTAGTGCCGATGTTGCTTCTGGTGTTCCTCAGGGTTCCGTGCTTGGTCCTTTACTATATTTAGTTTATACTTTTGACTTGCATACTGTATTACAGTTTTGTAGTATTCATACCTACGCAGACGATACACAATTGACCTTCACTTTTGACTCTACTAATGTGGATCAAGCTTCGTATAAAATAAATTTAGATCTGGTAAATATAACTGACTATTGCAAGGCTAACTGTTTGAAGCTCAATCCTACCAAGAGTTTTGCGGTGTGTTCTGTCCCAAAACCAGCTATGAGCATTTTGAAAGGATGATTGATTTGAGGGTAAATAATGACCATATTCCACTCGTCACGCATGCAAAAAGTCTAGGTGTTACTTTAGACGTAAATCTTAGATTTCATCACCACGTCAGTAATATATCTAAGCTACATATGCAAGCTAAGACTCCTATACTCCAATCGTTCTATTCTCAATTTCAAGACTAGAAAGAAATTGGTGGAAAGTTTAGTTATGTCTAAGCTGCTTTACTGTTTTATACTGTTTTATCCTTGTCTTGACTCCATAACAAAAACCAGATTGCAGAAAATTCAAAATTGTTGTTGTCGTTTTGTTTTCGGCCTTCGTAGGTATAGCCATGTTACATCCAAGATCTGTGAGCTAGGGTGGCTGAAGCTCAATAATCTTTTCAAGTTTCATATGTTGGTTTTTGTACATAAAACAGTCGTTACCAAGAGACCTATTTACCTTGCAAATAAGTTAGTTCCGCGTAGGAATTTAATTTCAAGAAGGTTACGTCATGATGAACAGTTCAATATTCCTCTTCACTACACCTCATTATATCAGAGATCTTTCACGTATAATGCTGTTGAGCTTTACAATTCAGTCAGTGCTGCTAACAAACAAGAAAGTTTACTCTCTTTTAAGAAATCAGTTGGAAAACAGCTATTGGAGATGCAATCGTCTCTCAGTGTTTGAGCTGTTGGTTTGTTTTATTTTTATGACACTTTATTATTATTATTATTATTATATTAATAGTTCAAGTGTGCATTTGTTTCTTTTTCTTATTATTACTATTGTTTGTTTGTGTATCGAGTTTAACTGTGTTACTCTTTCGTACACAGTGAGGTTAAGTGTAAGAGTAGCCATTTGGCTAAACTTCGCCTCACTGATGTATGCTGATTAATAAAGACATTATATTATTATTATTATTATAAGGCGGAGTATATCCGTTGTTCCCAAACACGAGCACATAATATTATTATTGAGATAGGGCGGTACTTCAACTTCTAAATAGCTATAACTTTGTTACTTTAATTTTACCACAAAATGTTAAAGGAAAAAAAACATTCTTTTGATCAGATCTACTCACTGTTAAAATGAATGACTCAACTTCGAAGTCACCCTGTATAAATGATAATGACGGCAACCAGTTTACTGATTCTATTGAAATGGTAAATTTTTGTAATGAATATTTTATTGATGCGGGTGTTAACATGGCGCGGACCATTCCCAGTCCCCAATCTAAATAACATAACAAGCAATGAAAAAATAATACAGATTGGTGACCCGCAGGGTACTGTTTTGGGACCGCTCCTTTTATAATTTATATCAATAAGATGCCAAAGCTGGACACGAGGGGTTTAAAGTTGGTAC